TCTTCCAGCTGAGTCCTTTCCTCCTGCTGTGTCTCCGTGTCTGGACACCTGGCTGGGACCACAGGTCCCCATGCCCTTTGTTAGGCAAAGGGTAAGCACCAGGTTATGGCCTCTTGCCTCGGGCTCCTGCAACCCAGAGCTCAACCTGCAGCTGGCACTGCAGCTGCACACAGACCTACCTGCACTAAACGTATTCCTCAACATGGAGAACAGGCTTTTCAGGCCTGCTGGGAGAGGATGTCGGACTTGGATGGGGCTTGGGCACTGTCAAACCTCGTTCCGGTGTCCTCCCGAAGAAGCACATTTATGTATTCCTCCTGATGGGAGGGGAAACTCCATCTGCTAGTGCTTCTTATCCTTCGTCCTTCATTCTTGGGCTCTGTAAATAACTGTTTCCTGAAGGCTCCAAAGCTCCAAATATTAAGGCTGGTGAAAAACTGTTTTCTTTTATATAAGATCCCAAAACTCTGCATCATTTATTAAGAACAAAACCAAGATGCTTTTTATTTTTGTAACATAAACACATAGACACATTAGCATTTTGGGTGCTATTTCCAGATTTTGTTCTGTGCAGACTGGGAATCCTTTCCCATTCTCATCTAAACAGGTCATTTCTGTCCTGCATTATTATCTCAGTTAATCAGCTTTTCTCAGTATTGCTTAAACTTTTCAGTGGAAAAATTTTAAGTAGAATATCTCAAGCTGGAAGGGATTCATAAAGATCGCAAAGTCCAACCCCCTCCTCCTCACAGGACTACCTAAAATTAAAACATATGACTAACATTTGTTTAAATACTTTGGTTAAAGACTTGTCTCTGAGGTCTTCTGGGAGTGTCCTGATCCTTTGGCTTGGTGACAAGATGAAGATTTTTCTCTGGTAACAAACAGACAATTACTTTAGAGACTGAAGTAAGTGAGAGAGTTCAGTCCTTGAAATAGCATCAAATATGAAGCTATTGATGCAGATCTAGCAGCTGCAAGTGCAAATAAGGGCTTTGGATGTTTAACCAAAGGAATTTATTAAAAACAGATGAGAGAATGATTTAATTATCCGACTCCTTGATTAGCTGCTGTTTGGAAACTGCTCAAGGAGCTGAACAGAGTTTAAATAGGATAGTCATGCTTTGGAAAGAGACCACAGAAGATTAATTGGGGCAGGCATGGAAGGGAAAGGGTCAGAGAGCTTCACATTTTTGGCCTCTGAGGTGGTGGAAGAAGAGGGTTTGTGGTGGTACACAAAAGCCATGCTGTGATAAAGATAAATTTTGTTCATAAGGCATTCACTTTATGGAAAGGATGAAATGCAAGGTCACAAGCCAACATGTGGAAGGAGAATACCAAGTTATGAGAAGGGATGTTTCTATCCAGAGACATGAGGCAGCCTGTGCAAATAGGGGTGCTTTAGCAATAGGATAAGTTAATGAAAGGATGACTGGGGGTGGCACAGCCTTTAGTTCTACTGACTGAAGTACAGGAGGTAGGCTAGAAACAAGGTGGAGCTCAGCTCTTTCTACCTCACAGTTTCTGTGAAGGGTTTGGCTCAGTCATTTGGCAAGTAGGCTGGCAGCTGAGTCCAGAGATGGTTCATGGCCCTTTCACTCACTCACAGTAGCACAGAGGAGCTAACTGCTTCCTCTTCTGGTTCAGCTCCTTCACAAGATGAGCTGCAGTGATGTCCCTACACGGAGAAGCTGAGTGGTCTCCATATACAGGGAAGCAGAGCCCGACTGAAATACAATTAAAAATTTAAACTTCATAGAATGAATAGATAAATGCATTTAACAGAGAGTGTACACATATATTAACAGAGGTTAATAAACTATATATAGGTTGGTATATATAGGTTGGTATATATAGGTTGGTGGATGTATAATTTTAAGTATGTTTAGACATCTCTGGGATTCAAGAACCGTAAGATTAGAGATGACCATCAGGAACTTCTTTCTTTACGGTTTTTTTCTTCTTCTTTAGGCAGTCTTAAAGAAATTTGGACAATTATTGGCCAAAATAAATTCCTCTTTTCTATGCAGTGATAAGGTAAGCTTGATGACTACCATGCACTCTGCATATGTGGAAAAGAAGTATAAGAATGAAAGTCCCAGTAGCACTGAAGTACTAATTGTTGCAGCACAAGCAAGATGGGAGTCAACACTGATGATATTTGTGCAGGGAGAAAAATAAACTGATATGACTAGGTTGTTTTGATTGGAGTATGACGTATCTGTAGGTGTTAAGGCATGGACTCAGCTGGGAATTAGACTGAAACAAATGTAATATGGATTACTGTCTCAGGAAATAAACTACTTTCCCTGTCACTTCTAGTGCTAAGGTATGCTGAAATATCACAGTCTAAATCTAACCTAGTGGCAGCTTCTATTAAAAATTATATTACAGAAAACTTGCAACACAGGAATGTTTTATCAGATTAAAAGAGAACATAATATGAAATGCAATGAATTATGCAAGTATAATGTAAGGGTAGAAAAGAGTGAAAGGATGAGCAAATTTTCATATGGTTGCCACTCCACTATTTGTTTTGTGCAGCTGAAGAGCAGTTTGCACTTGCAGCTGGCCCTTAAAAAACAGAGACCTCAAAAAGAACAAATCTTTCAACTGCCTACAAAGGCAACTGTAGTATTTCATTATTTTTTTCTAACCACAATCTATCTTCATCCCTTGCTGCCTAGCAGAGGTTATAGAGACAATTTCATTTTTCTAGCTGTGTCTATACCTGTAGATAAAGCAGGGCTAGAGCATGGGTTCCAATGTTATCCTGTGATTATAATCCTGGGGGATGATTAGCATTCTCCCTGGTAATATTTTGTCTTGGGCCAATTAGCATTCTCCCACCTATTCCTAATCACAACTCAGGCACATGCCAGCAACCGTTCCCTGTATATGTTTTGACTGCAGTCTCACAGTTTAAGGGTGGAGAAGGAGTTTTGCTGTGCAGATGAGAACAGTGGCCTCTGGTCCAGTGAATGGTCTCAGTACTGATTTATTTAGTAGCATAAAGGTTGACTATGAATGAGATTCTGTCTTCCTGAATATCCTCCTTCTTCTTGCTGTAAAGGAAGCCCTTTAGCCTGTAAGGATAAGCACCTGCCATAAACTCTTTCTCACTGTAAGTTTGCAGTGCAGGTCCTCTCTAACCCATCACTACTAGAGTGTGACCATATTTAATCCTGTTTGTATTAACAGGGATCTCCAGAAGCATAGTTCTCAGCACCTCTTGGCACAAGATGGGTGGAATGCAAAGCCCTTACAAAAGAGCCACTAAGGAAACACCACGCTGGAGAGCATCAACAGTTGCTTTTCCTCATCCTCTGGTTCAAGCCATCACAGTATTCGGTGCCTGGATGCAAGTAGAAAAAAGGGGAACAGGAAAAAGTGATCTCTGCAATGTTATTGAGTCTGTTCATGCACTGATTCCCCTCTGCCACCTCACACAGAGGGACAAAATCCCCAGTTACCTTTTCAGGGAAGCACTCTTAGGTTTCTGAAGACAGGAATTATTACAGTGATATAGGGAGATTTACATAGATAGTGATATGAAAAAAAGGAGAAAAATAGTGTTAATAATCCTTGTTTAAGTTCATGCAGACAGAAATCTTGCCTTTTCTCTGTATTTCACAGGCATTGTAAAAAATACTGTATTTGACTGAGTCAGTCAAATAATAAACACCACAATGAGTAGAGCAGGAAAATGTCAGATGGTGGTCTGGTCTCTTAAAAAAAAGAAGGAATGAAATGCCCGTCCTTCATAAGATATCTGTAAAATGGCTAAATAGATAGGAAGCAACGTATTGCAGAGGAAGGTATCATATATTGGCTATAGAATAACCAGGCACATGACCACTATTACATCTCCAACTCCAATTCAAAGATGTAAGATATATTTTCCATAACATTTGCATGTATTCATACACCGAGTAGTCTTTCTAGTAGCCTAGTTCTTATTGATATGTGCTAATGATGTGAACATGTGTTTCGATAGCATGAAACCTTCAAGGACCACTTCATCTATTGTGCTACAATCACAATAGTTTTGTTTCAAAATCCTAAAAGAGTATAAGAAAGTAAATCCCAGTACCCTCTTATTAACTTGACCTGCATTTCTATTGCCTACATGTTCATAGTTTAAGTGGGAGTTTAAGAGGAGGGCAACCCAGTGGCTTAGTTTAGTGGCTCTGTGCGTGTGCTACAGATAGGATTTCCATTCCTTCTGTCTGGTTTCCTGGCTTGGCAAAGGCAAGCAGTGTTGGATCTCCTGGATGAGTGGAAAAGAGAGTATCTCGGCTCTCAGCAGTGATCTCTCCAGTTAATGAGATAGCCGTGCTGAAAGGAACATTATAGTGTCTACCAAAGCTGAAACGAGGGTGGCTACAGGGAAAGGACTCAAGAAAGTGTAGTAAGTGTAAACAGAATGGAGATATGGAGGTTCTTCACTGCTGCAAACAGTTTTTTCTTCATTAATAATTTTTTCTTCATTAATCATTTTTTTTTCATAAATACTGAAAAGTATTTCTCACTTTGTCTTTGCACACAGCTTTCTCTTAAAGGAAGAAAATGAGGTTTCACTGCAGGCATACTGTCTGTAACTACTTATCACATTTATGTTGTGGAAAAAGGCACAAATGCATACAGGCATTTCCCACAAGTTCTGCAGGCAGGAGGGGTTCTTTAATAGCATGGCAGTCACTTTTTCAGCCTCTATCTGCGTGTGTATGCGTGTCTGCATGTTGCAGAGAGGACACAGAGAGCGAGCTCTGCAGCTGAATTTAGAAAGTTATAGATGTTCTCATCAGCCCCATGCAATGCAGCAGAGATTCCTTCCAAAAGCCAAGGGAGCAGAGGCTGCAGACAACAGATGTGAGAGGGTTTCCCATAACTGTCAATTTTCGAAGTGTTTGCATTGAAAAGAGAGGAGGTGCTATTTTGATTGATATTTCAGCCGCGGTATATAAAGCAGAGGAATTCTTCTTACCCTCTGCTTGTCATACTGATCTGCATACGCTCTCAGCTGGACTTGGGGCTACTACTTACTGCATCTGAAAGGCTGAAACTCACTGGGAATAAAGAATTCTTGTAACAATGCCGGAACCCACCAAGAAAGATGGTAAGCATAGCAAACATTACCTGAACATTTCTTAATTACAGGAATTATGAGGACACACATGCACAAAACATCTTTTATACCATCTTACATATATCAGCCACAAATAATATCTAAGAACAATAGCTGGGTGACATCATTATATCATTAGATATCACTGATCCTTTTAGATTTAGAAATTACTTTCAGGCAGGAATATAGCACAAAACTGTTTTAGACAAGAAACAATGACTTTGAATGGCTATTGAGAAACTACTTCATTGGGCAAATGCTGTGTTTTTTTAAGGACTGCAGGATTTCCATAGTGCAACTTGTGGTTTCTCTATTCTAAGCTAACTAGACTCTGGAAAAGAGGGAATAAACATTTCTTGTGGTTTAAAAAGCCAGGACACTGACATATTTTTCATACAGCTTTCTAGTAGTTATCGAATGGAAAGGATGTATTCATGAAACAGTGTTAAGGTTCTGATGAAAATATATTCTATACATCTAATGTATAAGTGAAGAATGTAGTAAGTTCCTCTGTACAAGTTGAACTGGAATGATTCATTTTGCCACACTGCAGAAATTATTATTTTTATGTTTCAGAAGGATAATTAAAGGCAGTAATATTGGCCCCTTTTGTGGTGCTGTTAAGTTCATAGCAAAGAAACTGAGTATATAGTCTGCTAGTGAGTTGCAGAACTGTACAGTGGAGGCTGCACAAAAAGGGGCAAAGTGGTCGGAGTCTATTAATTAATAACTTTTTGAAAGCTAGAATTTATTTTTCTACCATTTTGAAAATTTAAACTAAATAAGCTTCATCTATTTACATTACTTCTATAGCCCTTACTGTATTTTCCTTTCAAGTTTAGATGTTTTGGCAAGAATTTTTGATGATTATTTTCTAACATTGACTACATAAATAGCTTTTGCGAAGCTGTGAATGCACAAACTGTATATGCTTTGCAGATATTGGCAAATGAAAGGTATAAAGACAGGTTCTCTAATGCACTCCCAAATGCAAAACTGAATTTAATCCTTAAGGTAATCCTGTGGAAAGAATAGAACTCATTAAATAAACTTTATTTCCCATAAATTCTGAAAGAACTGCTGGGCCCATGTCTGTAGTTTAAGTACATTGGATTTAACACCGATCTACCAATCACATTTGCTTGATTTTAAATGTCTTTTTGAAATATTTTCTGGTTTTGTGAAGAGCAAAGCAACTGTCAGGAACGTTACTCAGTTTTGGTACCTTCTTTGGTTGGGGATATATGAAAACTAAACTTTTTGCACGACTGAGTCTTAAGCAAGCAGTGTTGACAGACCAGTGTGATCACTTTACTTACTGGCCCTCCTTAGTGCTCGAGGACAATGATAGATGAAGTATCCTTCTGAAAATAGCTACACCAAGTGCACGTATTAATACAAGAGCCTAATCCTCTGTATCAAACCTAGAGCCAAGCCCCTTCTAGAGTGTCTTATTTGTAATTCAAATTATTTACACATGTATTAAGTGTCCTTTTTATTTGATCTGTTATTTGACTGCATATTACACACTTTAATCAGAATGCATTCTGTAGCTGCCAACTCAAAAAAAAAAATCCACTAAAATATTTATGCACTTTCAAAAGACATGTGCTTTGAAGAAAATTAGTTTGGAGGCTCATGTTTCTGGTTCTGTTTAAAATTAGATTGTTTCAAAGATGTTCTTACAATGCAGTGATTAACAATGCAGCTCTGTGTTTGTGTTACAAAATAAGTTTAGCAACTCTGAACAAAATTATGTTGACAGTGGAATAAATGTGATTTTTGATGAGTCAATATTCAGGATCTAAAAAATATTGAATTATTCTCTCCTGATAGGGCTAGAATTCACAAGTAGTAATGAGCTCTGGAGAAGTAATACAATTGGGTTGTACACTGGTTGCTCCTTGTTGCACCCAGTTTGTTTGCAGACAGTAGATCAGTGGAGAAATAGGTTTATATTATGGTACTTAAGAGATTAGTTGCTTCCTAAAGATTTTTTGTTGATCAAGAACTCACCTGAACTGGTGGTAGTACTTGTATAGTAAGTATGAGTACTCATTATATTAATGGCAGGAGGATTTGTTTCCAATAATAATACAATACCGCTGCTACTACTCATATTAGGTCTACTCATACCATGTCTACCAGTAAGAATTCAGAACCTCACATGTTCATCAAATGCCTGTTCTCAAGGTAATTTCCAAGGTGTGAAGGGTTGAGGGCAATTAATTAATGAAGGTGAACCTTGCACTGACTAATTCTGGAAAGTACCACTGGAAGGACTCTATGAGAAACCTGTGATGAACTTGTTGGAAGACTACAATAGAAAGCAGAGGGGAAAAAAAGAGGCTTAAGACTTCTGCATCACATGAGCACCTGAGCAGTGTTCTGTCATTTCCAAAAGAAGCAATCTACTTGAATTATCCCATTCCCATAGGTCCTGCCACTTAAAAACAGAATACATAAGAGCAAGCAGTTGAGAAATCAGAAACTACCCAACACTCAAATGTTAAAAAAATCTCATCTTTGCATTTTTTTTTTATCTCTGCAGTCTCTGGAGTGCATAACTAAATTTTTCAGAGACAGTGCTATAGCAAGCTCATAGGCTTTTTTTCAGGCCAAATGATCTTTTCAGCTATTTTAAGATTATTAAAATAACACAGTGAGAAATTTCCTGACTTGGTGAGAGTGTAGCCTCACAAAGTGCTCTTAACAAATAGGATCACCAAATTAAACACACCACTCAGCTTAGAGAAGGTTGCTGGAGAGCTTCAGCCTGGTGGAATTTGTCACTGTAGAAACAGGCTTCCATGACTAATGATTTAAGGCCTTTATGATACTCCTAAAACGTTGAGTCCTGTATATAATATCAGCTGTGGCTTCTCTGCAGTAGATGGTCATCCCGTTGTAAGACAGTTTTGTCTTAGCTGGTTTAAAATATCCTATTTGCAAGGTGAAGTTTACATCAATGGGTTAACTGATCCCAGTAGATGACTAGGATATGACTGTGGTGCCAAAAACCTTTACCAGTGCATTTAAATTCAACGGCCTTTAGTTTTCCTGGTGACTAATAAAATAACCCTCCCCCATATAATTACTTCCTGTAATTTATTGCAATCACTGAGTCAATCTTTCCTCTCCCCCCTTTCCTTTAACCAATATTCATAAGAGCTGCTCATTAATTAGGTGCCCTCTTAAGCTGTCACAGGCCATGGCATTTGGATACGCTTTTGTAAAAGTGCCAAGTCTCTCAAGAGCAACCTTTTCAAACTATTTGTGGGCATCATCCCACAGTGACAGGTGCAAGTCCGTCCCCAGTAGTCAGCTCTGTAAATTTGCCTTATTTATTCTCCCCAATCTAGGAAATAACTCATGGCCATGAGTTAAGTGACCATTCCAAATTTTGAGCCAAAGCATTTGTTGACTGTCTGCCAACTTTATTTTGTAAGGGTTTGCGAGGTCTGCTTGAATATTGCCTTGGAGCATCCACATATTGGCAAGGAATCAAAATTAAAAGTCAGTGTGTCTACTTTAGACAGAGTAAAAACTTTATTCGATCCATAAACAGGATACATGTAAAAGCTGTGAAGAAAACTATGTGCATATATTGTCTGTTAGAAGAACAATCTCTAAAACATGAAAAAATCTGTGAAAGGAGGTAAACAGACATACCAATTGAGACTGCTTTGGAGATACAGTAACATTGTTCTCTCTGTAGATGCCCTGTAGAAACAAACTTTATTTCTATTGGCTTTTAAACATGACTAATTTTTTTCATTGTGTGATTTTTTTTTCTATCACCAAATTTGAATTATATTTAAAATATTTTAAGCAATACCACAGTGGTGTATCAAGATAATAGACACTGTCAAACAAATCATCTAGTCATATAAATCATACAGGTAGACGCATAAAGCAGCATTCCAGTAGGTAATCAATCTAAGCATAAATATTGGTTAAGAGCTAATTAAAGTCAGATTCCTTTTAATATTATATTTTCAGGGCTAGGTAATTTTTCAGAGGTGAAAGAGAAGTTGAATGGGAATTCTGTTTCACTAAAGAGTTGGCTTGTGTCAAAATTAACAATGCTGATGGAAAGTTTTCCTGAAAATTCAAGAACCCAGCATGTGAACATTTTATAACATTGTTTAGTGCTTTCCATGCAGGAGACTGGACCTGTATAATTATTTCATATGGCACCACACTGGATAGTGCAGCTGCTGCTCTCCTTGCTGCATAGTGAGGGAAAAGAAAAGCATACAGACATCCACCTTCTGCCATCATCATCTGCAGCACTGACTGTAAAATGCATTCCCATCATTTCTAACTTCCTTCAGTCTCAGAGCCAAATCACACTCCAAGTCAGGCTCATATATATAATTTCCAAGCACCGTATTCAAGTCACAGGTAAATGAGTTTTGGTGGATGAGGGAAGGATGAAACCCTAACCCCTTAAATTATTTTCCCTCTCAATTCTTTAGAAACTTTCTGTTCATCACCTCTAGCTAATAAATTAAAATCCCTCCACAAATGGAAAGCAAACTTACGCCTAACTGTTGTAATTAGATCTATGAGGGTGGGCTGTGCTCCCGTCCTGAGCCCCACGGAGCAGCGTCCTCCTGCACAGATCGTGTTGCACGCTGGGAACTGAGTTGTTCTTAGACTGCCTTTGCCCTCCCATTGCTAACTTCTAAGTGTTGCTCCCACACTTCCTTCTAAGATACCAGAGCATCTCAGATTTATTCTTTGACCTTCCGCCCCCATCGTTGCTAAGTTTCAGACTACTTTTTCAATCAAATTAATTTGATTAAAACCCCCCTACACTGGCAAAGAAAAATCCCCTTGATCAATTTTTGAGCTTTTATGTTTTGTTTGTTTCATTGTGGTGGTAATTGAAGGCACTACATTGATTTTTTTTCTTATTCAATGCATTGACTTTATTTTAATACTCATGTAGGAGGATAATGCAAGATTGACCTGTCTTACTTAAG